AGCCTCAGAGCACACAGGGGCAAACCTGCCAGTGGGCTGTCCACAGTCCCTCCACAGGCACAGCCGGCTGCGGGCAGGGCAGGGCACAGCAGGAGGAATGGTCTATACCATCGTGTGCCTACTTTAGCAGAGAGCAAAACAAAATCAAAGCAGACTTGCTGTAAGGTGATTGATGCAGGCCAGCAATCAGAACATCATATCAGAAACTCTGAGGGTGGAACAAATCATGAAATGATCTAATCTAACCTCCTATATAATACGCAGGCCATAAAATTTCATTTAGACCAGAGACCACCACCGTTACCAATTCTGGGCCTCTTCATTTGATGGGATTGCAAACAACCTTCCTCAAATTAATTCCGTATGAAGATGAGTAGCCTCCAACAGCTCTAAACATCTGCTGATTTTATTCACACCATCTCACACCTACCTAATTTTGAGCAGCACTTCTCATATAAACCACCCCATGCATCAGCCACTGCAGAAACCTACCAGTAGCAACCAAATAGATTCCCAAGTGTAAACATGAGGTCAGCCAAAGCCTGAGGCAGCGCGACATTGGCACAAACACACATGGAGGATTCCTGTTGTTATTCTAAGGATATTATGCCAGAAACACATGCAACAACCTCCCAAAGCAGATGGCAGAATCCCTTCTGGAATTTCCTAACTGGAAAAAAACAACCCAAAAACATGTAAAAGTAGGTGTATTTTAGTGCATGGAGCAATTAAACACATAAGCAAAAGAAGTCTCAAAGTGACCTGTGAATATGACATCAGCTTCCCTGCTACCTATTTATCTTTTTCCCACCCTATAAAGCATCCTACACACAACAGAGACAAACCTCCACTGCAGTGTGTTCATCAGCAGCCAGGGTGCTCATGAGGCTACAAGTACACTGGCAGAGGTTCCTGCTCCAAATCAGGCAGAACAGGAACTTGGATCTGAGTCTCCCTTCTTTCATAAGATGCCCCAGCTATGATTTGCCTGTTCCTGAAAGGCAAATTTTGATCAGAGATTCTATACAAGAGACACTTTTTTCCAACCAGAAACTATTTTCCTTTCCAAGTAGGTTTTCCCCAGTGCATCTGTCATTTTGAACATTCTATCTCTGGTAGAGGCACACAAACCTCATCAAACATCATAAGAGAATCAAGACAATAAATGTTCAAGATGATCAGAGGTAGCGAGAAAAGATTAAGCTTTTCAATTTCAATTCCATATAAATTGAAGGGCAAGCAAAGCAGACAATAAAAAAGTCACCTTAAAACTCTGCTGTAGGAGCTGGACTCAGTCCCAGAGGCAGGTGAGTGCTTTCCTTTCCTAGCAGACTGAAATAAGGAGGCAGAATATACCCACCTGATGCAGCTGACTGGAAATACCGATGTTGTACAACCCACAATCCCAAGAAATGAAAAAAAGAAATCACATGTTCAAGTTAAGAAGGGCACTGTTTTCAAAACAAAAGGTTCTAATTTGTTCTACTTACGAATCATTTTCATTACCCTCACAAGACATAGGAGCATTGTCCCAGCAGGGATGTCTATCCTTCCAACCAATGAACGGAGCATTTCTTAATGGAGATATAAAAGAGGAAGGAATAAACATTTCTTATTGTAAAGCAGAATCTATTTTTATTCAACACAGGACAGTAAATGGATCACATTCACAATAACCAGTATTAAAAAACAACAAACAAGCTCTGCAGTCATATTTAAATTTGGCTCTACCTACTGGTCACTCACATTTCTACATACAAAACTTTGTCAGTCTTCCTCATTTGACACCCAATACTAACAAAACATACAGTTTATTCACAACTTGGGGTCCTTTAGGGTTGTTATGAAAGAAAAGAGATCATTTTTATTGTTTTGTCCAACAAATTCATAGCGGGGAGGAACTGAAATGCTGCATGTTAGCAAGGAAGGAGATCTTGGCACACTGAGTCCCTCAGTCCTGCAATCGATGGAAGGAAGGACTCAGCCTGGCACCTCCAACATTGTCATCATCCTATATCCGAGTGCAAAAGCTATTCAAATAAATAAATAAATAAGAGCAGCAGCCCCAACAAGTAAAACATGTAAAATCCAAAACACAGTTAAACACCTTTACAACCTGTAACTGTTAAATACAACAGAAAGCATTTTAACCTAAAACTTCAGCCCAGAGGGAACAGCCTCTCAAAATCTGAGTGCAGCAGAGTTTAAGAAGATAAATTGTTTTGATAAACTAGCATATAGCTCTACACACCTTTTTGGGGAAGGGATTGGCATCTTCAGCTACAGAAGTCCTCCAGCCCTCCCTCCTCACACAGCCACTGAAGTTGTGCCAGTACAGCTGTTTTGGGGGTTGCAGTGTTATTTTTCCCTCTCTAGTCAGAGGCTAGATCAGTCCCCTGCTCTGGCTAGCAGTCCCCAGAGAGCCGGTCTGGCTGAGCGAGGGGCAGCGTGCCATGTCACTGGGATGGAAGTCCTTTCAAGTAACGTTTCTGCAGAACTCTGTCACATTTAACTACAACCTAAAGCCTGAACACAGTACAGATTTACAAATGTACATGTTGAGTACCCGCACCAGTCTCAACAGGTTTACTCAAAATGTGAGAAGTTAACGGTTCATCTAGGAAACTGCAGGGTCAGGGCCTAGGTAGAACATTCACTGGCAAGGACTTTGATACCTTCCTTAAGTTTTTGTGGCACCGAGGTCTTCCTTGTATCTCTGTTCAGCAAAAGAATTAAAAATGAACACATTCTTGTACTGTTCAAGTCAAGCATAGAGCACGTGCTGAATCAAATCAGTGAAATAACTGATCAACGACCGAACAATTATAAAACAGCCCTGGAAATTAAGTGTTGTGCAAGCACGTGGAACACAACACCAGCAGCCAATGAGACATTTCTCCATGGTTTGTTAATCAAGTGTAAAGACTACTGCATTGTTTCACAAAACTTAAGAGCGTAGTTCAGAACAAGACATATGTCTAGAGCTTTAATAAATACAGTTAAGAATAATACACAATTTAAATTATCTGGCCTTCATGATCTAAGTATAAACACCTCATACAAAAAAAATTCCTTTTTACTTTGTACATCTTTAAAAAAAAAATAATCACAGAAACATCTGTTTTGCAAAGGAGATAGCTGTACAAAGAAGTGATATGTTTTGAAGACATTAAACCGTCTATTTGCTCAGTGACATGAGTTACTGAAATGTTCTCTT